CAATTTCTTTTTTTAATGCAGTTCTTGGCTCCACCTTCTGCTTGACAGGCAGCAGAGTAATGTGACATGATTATGTAAAGTCCATAGACTGCAACACTTCAAGAGTGAAACAGAGATGTATTCAATGTATTCATTTGGGAAAAAAATCAAACACAGAGCAAGAGACAGACAAATGTCAAACTGAGATAGAAATGTATCCACTCGGTTTTATAGAAAGTTGTTTGTTCCGACAACTTTCCCTCTTGACATTAATAGTCACTGTGAATATAATTCTGCTCAGCCACTGAAGCCAACAGAAATGTTCACAGAGTACTGTCACAGACTGTCAGGGATTGTGGTAAGATGCTTGCAACTACAGTTCCAGAAAACTGTAAACAGATGACTGCTCGCTTTTCATCTTGTTATAATTCACTCCTGCCTGTCTTTTCCCCTTTTTTTCTCCTGGTTGTCTTGCCCTGTCTCAATACGTTTTCTGTACTGCTGGATACACTGACAATTACAAAAGGGCAAGTTAACAGGTTGTACCTGATAACTAAAAATAAGTGAATACTTTTCCAGTGTGGTTGGATAATTTCAGTTTCTAATGGATTACCAGTATACTATCAACATTTTGTCATATAGAGCATCTCTTATTGTTTCTAAAGTAAGAAAGTAAAGATATGAACACAATTGGAAAAAAAATGGACAAAAGTGTGCATGTGATCATTTGGTTTTCCAAAGCCAATAAAACCATGTCATCTACATAACACTTGACTTGCATATAGACATTGTTGTTGTTGGTCGTTGTTGCCTATATACCTATTCCTCAATTACCTGTCTTTGTTTTTAGCTTTATGTCTGTTTCTATTCTAATTCTGTGTGTAAGTACATTGAGAGCAATGTAATAACCAGTGTCAAATTTGTTGTATGTGTAGGGCATACACATACTTGGGCAATAAAGCTGATTCTGATAATCACCAGCATGTATTGATATTGTTTAACAAGTTTACATTATAAGACTAAAATAAAACCTTTATCACATTATATGATGCTATCACATTTTGTACGGTATTCATATCATGAGATACTACATAAGTGCCTAAAATCATACAAAATACTGGGCTTGTTGCAGTGCCAGTTGAAGAAGGCAACTCTACTTCAGAATTTATACCGTATTACAATGCCGCCACCTAGTGGGGTAATTTAGTAGTCTACTTAATAACTTCATAGCACACTCAACACTGAACAATGATTGAGTAAATTCGAAACTATCCGCTGCTTATTTGTCTCTTTAATCACAAAAACGAATATGTGTCATCCACAATGCCCTTTGTGCTTTCTAAATGCCAGGAATATTATTATGAGAAAAAAATCTTTATTAAGTGTACTTCTGAACCTCATGTACAGAAAGAAACCAGCAAGCATCCTTTGCACTTTGCACCATTGTGGACTGTCTACAAACGTTACTGTTTGTTTATATATGTCTATATATATATATATATATATATATATATATATATGTGTGTGTGTGTGTGTGTGTGTGTGTACATATATATCCATTTTAATACAAAAATATTGACTACAAGGGC